CCAACCAGCCCCCCTCCCTCCCCGTGTGACCGTCTCGCCGACCACATCACTTTACTCTTCCGAGACGGGCGTATCTGCCGCGCCGTCCGCTCGTTTAACCGAACACAACCCTCAAGCCCGCCGCTCCGTCCGCAACGTCGCTTCTGAAATTTGTGCACCGGATATAGATAATTATTGAGCCCACCTTAATTTCACACGTTTACTTAAAACCGGGACCATATTATTACTGTATATAATTATATAATATTATAATCCTCTGCAGCCAGGTTTCGACTATATCTATTATATACCTAACCTAACCGCTGCAAACGCCGGTCAATAAATCACTGTATGGACTGGTATGAACTGCAGTGGCGCGCTGCTATATACACAATAGCGAAAGTTTCATGGCAATAATATACTTATATACCATCATCTATATAATACGATTACAATATATTATTTATGATATATGTATATTATATATATATATTATATATATTTCAAATAAATATATCACGCAAAAGCTCAGAGTTTTCTACGTGGATATATATAATTAATAATTAAACATGACGTATGTGCGTAATACCCACATCAGTGGCGTACACAAGTGGTGGCGTGGGGTGTCAGATCGCCTAGCTATCATTTTTGTTTTGCTTACATTATGTAGGATACACTATTATATATAATATAATATTTTGTCATATTATTATGATCTATTGAGCTATTGCAGAATTTTGACAATTTTGTCAATACTGAATATACCATTATAATTTTATATTCGTTTATTTGAAGCAAAATAGTGTTTATTTGATAAAAATGGTTGATGACGACTACCTATATATGATATTATACTTTGTTATAGCTTATCTTATTATTTATAGAGACAATACTATACAATATAGAGTATATAACAGTATAAGTATAACTACATGGGCACCTATATATTATTATATTATATGTGCAGGGATATCGAACTTCGATAATTTTATTTCTTTTGATTGTATTTAAAATTCCGATTAGTGGATGGTGATGAGTATATTGATTTTAAAACGACGTCTGTTTATTTTTATTTTTGTGGCTGATGAAATGTTTTTTTGTAGAAAAGTGCTTGTTTTATTATTAACTTTGACGTAGCTAGGTCTTTGCAGATGAAACAAAATCTTAGAGAGAACTATATAGCCAGTTTAGAATTCATTGTCACTTCCCTTTTTAATTTACAAAAGTTTGGTATCATAATTAAAAGTAAGTATATATCAATAGTATGAATGCACGTTGAGCGCGTTGAAAATATTTAGTTGGTTGAAAATAAGAGGTGCATGGAAGATCGCTAAACACAACATTGTCAGGAAAATAAATACATATTGAACATATATAATGCGTTACCTATACGTATATTTATAACACATCCACAATATTAATCGTTGGAAAAACGGCTCAATCGGATCTAGTTGCCAGACCTATTGTTTAGAATTTTAGATGGTGAGAAGCGGCAGAGTAGGTATATAGTCTTCTACAACTTTGTTCACATCAGAAAAAAAACAATATATTCGATAATATACCTATATAGGTATACCTAATGGCTGCAGTATAATATAGGTATTAATATCCAAGACAAATCCTCGAGGGGACGATTGATTCTAGAACRTTTGAGAAGGGCAAGCCCACCCCCCATTTTTAAAATCCAGTTGCTACGAGCTTATAGCTGATCAAGAAAAAAACATAATACGACATTATGGAAATTTATTGCTACTATATATAGTACTATTTCAAAAAAAAAATCTCTTATACTTATTTCTTAAACTATTAAAGTCAATTATATATAAGTTTTATTATAATTATTTTGGTTTTGACTTACACRTCGTTAAATACACAATCGATAATATACCTATTATTGTGATCTGCTGCATTAATAGTGTAGTAGTGCGYCTGTATATTGCATAAAAAGCGTATTATTCTTATAGGTATAGAAAATGTATATAGTCAACTTTTCATTTACGGTTAATGATTTTCTCATACACATGCATATATTATATTTAAATAATATAATATACCTACCCTATGATCTATTATAATGGAGGGACAATATAACATTATTTTTCGGGCTAAATATCAAACGCACCGTTGACTGCAATCAAACATACTATAATACACATATTCTATCCCTCGAAATGATACATATATATTATATATATATATATATATATATATATATACACGGTAACGTTATTTACAAACATACAAACACTCGTTACTCACGCACCCTTATCCCGAAAAACTAACCGAATCGTACTGCAATATGTCTTCGCGTGCGTCCGAATTTAAACGGCGAAAAAATACAGCGGCAGATGGTTAATTCCATATATTATATACAATTAAAACGATTTCCAAAGCTATCGCGGTGCGTATGATTATACTATATAATATAATATCAACTCGAATAAAACATTTGATTCCGTATCATTAACGCCGTTCCTATCCTATTATATATAGATGATTATGATTATTATTTGTGATTTTTTTTTTTGCGTTCAACCCGACTATACGATCCTTTTTATATCATATATAATATACGCGCAATATATATATATATATATACCACGACCCTCCGCCGCGCGCACGAATCATATATTATACACATGAGCATATATTCTGTTTATTTATATATATATTATATAYATCTATACGCGGAGAACGAAATAGAGGGAAATTAGATTTATTTTTAAGTCAACACAAGGGACCTGTATTGTTTGATAATGGTTCGCTAGGGGATACTCTTTTATAACCGCAGTAAAACACCCCAAAGTGTTGACATAATACGCATGTGCCGGCCGGCGGTGCTATAGAGTGGCGGGAGAACGATATATGCGCGGATAGACTATATACGCCAGCAGAGTGGTGCGGTGCAGGGGTGGCTGCATTCAGTTTGTAGGCAGTCGTCGGTGGGTGGCGGTGCAAGGGTGCACCAGTACGCATGATAGACTGCTTTTTAAAGTCATATAATGCGGATGCGAATGTTGTCGAACAAGTGTTCGGATAAATCCCGCGGGATATAATATAATAAGTATATGGCGTGTGGTAAAGTGAGAGGGATCTCGCGATAATGTTGAAAAGAGAAAAAACAAAGCGACGTATAGATGACGACGACGTCGTCGACAATGACGATGAGAGAGCAGGCCCACTGTGGCTCGGAGAGTATTAATAATATGGACCGTGAAATTAACGTATAGGTCCGCAGGGTCGGCGGTGGTGATGGCTATTACGATTATAATGTTGGTGATACGACCRAAATCATCACACAGTTTTGCAGCAGAACGATAGTGATGAGCTGATATAATATATATAATAATAGTAATTCATTATTCAACGAAACAAACACGCTGATACGTGTGGGAAAAATAAATTACCATTTCGAGTGAGATTGGTGCTGTGCGTCTATATTGATACAATACGTCGGTAAATTATAATATTTTACGGTATAGTAATATGCTTCACTCGTGTGGATGAGGTTAAATCGTTTGTGAACTCGAAAACAAGCTCACATATAATATATCTACAATGCGAATAGGAGAATCATCATGATGGGCAAGACGAAWCGACGACAATTTTATTAAATCTCAGTAGGAGAACTACTATTACCTATATGTATAATATTATGTAGTTAATAAAATGTATCAAGAACTATTGAACGTATTCAAAGCCCCGAGGGTTTTCTATAATAAAATAAAGTGTTTATAAAATTTACATTTGTTATTAAATGTCTTTCTTATAAATTTTTTAAATGCATATTATTGCAACATGAATACGATTTAAACTATTAATTAATAYAATGAATTGTTCTGCAATGATAAAAATATTATAAAACATTATTATTATGATGGTTACTYAATATACTCAATAATATACAAAAGTGCTTATACTATTTTARATTGCAGGTCATGAATAACCGATTTATTAAGAAAATTCAGAACTGTCATTTGAATGCGATCACAGATAATCAAAAATAATCAACGGGTGCCATTTTTAAAGCACCTATATAGCCTATATACAAAACGTTACTATGCAATATGATTATTATGGTAGGTCGTAAGGTGTGYATTWAGGTAATTATTTTAATGGGTAGAACGTTTTAAAATAATTTTTCCGTTTATCCTTTTTTCCGAGATTTTTGTAATACCTACATCCTATATTAAATACACGCACTTGGAAAAGATCGGTATATTATGTCCTAGTCTATTTGGTTTTATTTATTTATACTTATTAAGCCGTTAACGCCAATCGGCTCTAAAAAATATTCATAATTTTAATATACAGTTTTAAGAGTAACAATGATAGTAGTGTAAAATGTCTATTTTACAAAAAGCTATTTTACATAGCTGTAAAATATTGATTGACA